ACTTAGATATTAAATTGCCACTACTCTCTAATTGGCACTCCCGTTAATTAATTAAAAGTTTAAAATTGATTATTGGGAATTGGCAAAATCTTAATCTTTGTAGCAGCACATCAATAGTAAATCAAAATATGAGATTCAAAATTGTGATGGAAGGGTGGTAAACTTTTAGATTATTCATATGCACTGAATACAGAAAGTGATCAATCAGGATGGCTACTTCTATGCCCATTATCAAAAGTTATTAATCGCATGGAATGTGTTATATTGCCAATTGTGTATTCCCAATAATTCAGTGACTAAAAACTTTGCTGTGGGGCCTAAGGCCTATAAATAATTGTTTCAAGTATGTATTTTTGTCCGTATGCAATTTGAGTAACAAGCCTTATCTTTGAAAATAGTTTAGACTTTTAAGAAATTAAGATAATTAAGAAATACCCATTAATTTGTATTCATACATAAATTAGTTTTATTATATTTCAAAATATCTTTTAAAATAATGAAGATTTTTAAGAAATTAAGATAATTAAGAAAATATATTATTATATAAATTATTTTTATTGTATTTCAAAATCAGGCTTCAGTATTCGGTTACACTTATCACTATGCTGCAGTGTTATTATTATGTTAACTGTAGTTTATGAAATATTGATTTAAGACTGCACAGTTTAAATGTTTTCCTTTACCTTAGAAACAATTTAAATTTTAAACTTGTGAACCATTTTATATTTTTATCTTTTCTTGCTATGACTAAAACGTCATAAGGATTATCCATTCATCTATTTAAGATTTTTCTAAAATAATGTTCGATTCGTTTGTTCACATATAAACCTGTATATACAGAATATTATATTATACGCAGTGTAATGGCTGCGTTAGAAAACCTCACTACCTTACATCATCTCGTGGTTGTAAAAAGTGGCGACAGAGAAAACCTGAACAGGAAGTAGGTAGCAGTACCTTCCTGATAGAAGCTCAAAATAATATAAAACTGCAGTTGTCAAAATGCTCTCCAAACGTGGCCTTTATGCCAAATATCAGTATTATAGAACTTTACAAGAGTCCTATGTACAGCTGTGTATGTTTAAAACAGTATAATGAACGAAGAATGAAAATTTAAACGGAACCCTAATAGAGCAAGGACCGACTCGCACTTGATCGGGTGTTCTAATTTATGTGATCAATCCTTTCGATTATAAGACAGTAAAAAGCTTAAATAACAGTTTAATACATATGACTTAACTGGTATCTGTAATCAGTCGCACTTTAAGTAAGTGGATGCTGTGGCCCATAGGCATCTATATCAATTCTCGATTAAGATTCAAAATGCAGATGTGTAATCAGACCCTGAGCAATAAGGTGGAATTTCTCGAATCCATTAAAACGGATCTCCAGTTCTCAACACTCACCATACAAAACACAGTAGCATTGAGCTACTATTTTACCTTGGTATTCTGTGCGAGCGTTGTTCTTCCCCGGTCAAGTTGACCCATTCGCGCTACAACTATAATATAGCTGCAGCATGACTCTACCACGTATAAACTGTATTACCTAATACATTTATAAGAAAAATTATGTCGTACCTAAGGACAAGTACAATTGTTGTGTGATGTATTCGAATCTTTTATTGTCTAAACGTTCCAGACACAAAGGACGTGCAGCCTTGCACGCACATCGCGACCGTGGCCTTTCAGTTCTTACCTTTACCGAACTTGTGATAACGACCCCAGTCGGGACCCAATATTTTCTTCAATCAAAATATGTTAAAAAATTTATTACACAAACTTTTAAAATATTGGTTGATTAAATATTTCAATATATTACGTTTTAACATATAAATAAACTTATTTAATGCAACCATTGTTTATTAAGCATTCTTCATTCTTCTCCTTCAGCTTCATGATCACGTAAAATTCTACTCTTTGACATTTACATACAGAAGAGAAGAGAATTGTACAGAAAACTGAAAAATCCCACTTTGTCCGGTGTATGTGTACCAAGAGAAAAACTTTGGCTCCATCGACATGTGAGTGGTTCTACAGTATTTTTAGCCTTGCCGAATTGACTGTCTTTATATAGAAGTGCTGAAGTGTTTGTGCAGTAGATCTACGATGGCTACTCGAGTTCATAACCGGAGTACGAAAAATATTCTACTGCAGAGAGGTGTAAGACAGGGTAACGTTATACGAGGGTGACACTGAAAGTTCTTAGAAAATCAAAAACTGAATAACCAGCAAGTTATTACTTTTATTATATCTTTTCAAAATAGTATCCTTCTACATGAATACATCGCTGCATCCGATGAAAGCACTTTGCCCGCTCGTCCTTAGGGGTCTCTACGACGGCATTTTGAAACACAGCCACTGCTACCTCGGCGTCCATAAAACGTTTTCCTCGAAGTGTTTCTTTAATTTTTGAAAATAAAGAAGAATTGCAAGGTGCGAGGGGATATAGGGCGGCTGACCCAGTAATTCCACGTCTGACGTCGCCAAGTAGTCGATTGTTTCCTTGACGGTGCGTGACGAGGCGTTGTCGTGGTTAAGGAGGATCCTACTGCGAGATCGTTCCTCCCGAACTTTTTCCAAGATAAGTGGCAAACAACTTTTAGTGTACCACTCTGCAGTAACTGTTTTTTGATCCTCTAAAACAATTATTGGGTAATGACCTGTCCTTCCGAAGAACGAGGCCACCATCTTTTTTCCCACGCTTCGACCTCTCTTCACTTTAGTTGGCAACTCCTCGGAAAGAAACACCCAGACAGCAGGCTGTCTCTTAGTTTCAGGATTATAACAATAAATCCAGCTTTCGTCACCCGTAAGTATGTCGAACACAGCATTTGAATCACCTCAGTTAAATCTTTGAACCCTTTCACGACAATTCGGGTATCCGGGGTAGACCGGTATCCACCGGGCACAAAGCTTCCTGACCGCTAAATGTTCATGGAGGATTTTGTGCACCTTACACATACCCATGCCTAAGCTTGTCCGAATCTGCTGATAAGTCACTCTTTGGTCAGTATCTATCATACGCCGCACAACACTGATGCTTAGACCATTCAAATGGTCTGATGTTATCTTCAGTCGTCACCGAAGAAGGCCGTCCCTCACGCTGCTCATCAGGGAGACTAGTGCGACCACGTTTAAACTCATTAAATCTGTTGTAAACAGTGGCACGAGATGGGGCTTCATCGTGAAGGCCAGTCTAAGTCTATCATAACTTTTTTGCTGACTTAAATGACATTGAAAGTCATAAAAAATCATTGTACGAAAATTTTCTCGCGTTAAAATCATGTTGACGTAACACAGAAAATTGTCAATTGTCGGCAAATCGTAAACAAATTACAAATTAATAAAATACGTACACAATACTATTGCAAAGAGTTCCCTTTTCAAAATTTAAACTTATTTTGTTAGCGTTAAACTTATAATGGCAAGCGGCCAGTTCTAAAATCTTGCAGTGTCGCCCTCATATCCCCGAAACACTACACCGCTGCATTGAAGATGTTTTCAAACTACTGGACAGGAAAAGATACGGTGTCAACATCAATAGCGAGTACATAACTCACCCTCGATTTGCCGACGATATAGTCATTATGACAGAATTGCTAGAGGATCTCAGCACTATGCTCAACGACCTTAATAGTGTCTCTCATCGGGTAGGTCTTAAGATGAACATGGACAAAACAAAGGTCATATTTAATGTCCATGTCATACCAATGCCAGTAGTTGTTGGTCGCTCAAAGTTGTCGACGAGTAAATTTACTTAGGACAAATTGTCAGACTCGGTAAGTCCGACTTCGACCGAGAAGTCAATCGACGAATTCAACTCGGCGGGAAATTACGACACATCTTCTTGTCACTTATACCTTAAAACTGGAATACAAGACTGCACAACCAGTCCATGTTGCCAGTTAAGACATATGAATTTGAGAGAGTTCCTTCACTGCTGGCCGTATGAGGTGAAATCTTTATATATTACACTATGGCGTGTAGCCCCACCCCCCCGGCCATTGTGGAATGCGTCTGAAAAAAAAAAAAAATTAGTATAACTTTAACTTAAGAACGACTTCAAGGTTTTTTTCGAGTCAATGATTCATAGCTTGGATCCGGTAGGTATGTGGTGCTGCAGTTAAGTTATTAACATATTTTACATTTATGGACTAATATTATGACTCATATTCGCATTACGTTATATGTTTGTTTAGTATGAAAAAAATCACATTTGGACCCGATAAATGATTTTTTATAGGAAAAGGGTGACAAGCGAGCACACAGTCCACCTGATGATAAGTGGTTTCTGTGGCCCATAGACATCTGCATCTATCCTCGTTTGCGAATCAAAATGAAGATGAGTTGTCAGCCTTGAGGACTAAGATGGAATGGCTTTTTTTCCAGTAAAAAGGGTCTCCAGTTCTCTACACTCACCACACGAAACACAGCAACAACACAGCACAGCACACATTAAGCTGCTATTTGACGCTGGTATTCTGTGAGAGCGTTGTCTTTCCCCGGTCGAGCCGACCCATTCGTGATACAACTATACAATTAATATAGCTGCAGCATAGCTCTACCACGTAAAAACGCTGTGGTCGAGCTATTATTAATTTTATATTTACTTTGTTAAAAGCACGGTTAGAAGTGAATCAAGAAGGACGTATTGAAATTCAACGCGCCGCCTACCGGAAAAAGCAGCTCAACGTCTGCCCTATAAGCTAGTACTTTACAAAGTAATGTTCAGTTTTTGTAAATATTTATGTAATAACCCAATTTGTTAATTTTATTTTCCACTTTTACCATAATATAAAAATATAAAAACTAAGTGTATCAAAAGTATATGTTCTCGAGCGGCATCCTTGTTGTACATTTTTTTAAATCCCCGCGCCGTTCCGAATCTATTTTGTAGAGCCAAACCATCACCACACGACCCTGCATGAATTACGCTCTTTAATAAATAATAAATTTCGCGCGTTTTGCCGTTTTGTAAGCATCAGTGAGGCGACAAAGATGGTAGCGTTTTTTGGCGTTGGCAGCAGTAATCGTAAGTAATGTTTTTTTTTTTTTTGATCTTGATGTTATTTCGTAATAATTGTTTACCCATTCCACACGTTTTTACCGTAAAAACGTATGATTTGTCAAACAAAATTACACCATGAACTCAAATAATCACGATCGTGACGTTCAGGTCTATATAAGACGGTTTCAGGTAATGATTGTCAATTGTTGAATTTATTTGTAATTATTTTTATTTTTGACAGGAGTTGAACTAACCAGTGATTTTGTATTATATCTACTTGGGGATGGCAGACAACTGTTGATGGAATTCCGACTGCGCCGTCTCCAATACCACCACCGCCTGCACGACGGCACCTTGCAAAAGTGGTTCAAAGACCCTCGGAAACCAATAGAAGAATTTGGAGACAGGTACCATTCAATCAAAAAGAACATGTCTACTTGTCACGGGCTCCTCCATTTGCAATTAGAAGGCCTTTCGAATATTTCAATGACTACTTTGATGACGAGTTTTTTCAACAGTCTGTTATGTGTAGTAACAATCAAAGTGATCAAAGGTAAGCCTCGACCTCAAGATCTACAGATATTCGTGGCCACAGCTCGTGAAGGTCTCATGATAGACTTTAAAGTCTACAGAGGTGTCAACACTCCGTTCAGCTACAGAGCTTTGGGGGTTTGGGCATCAGTAATCTTACACCTCTCCAAATCGATTCCAAGAGGGAGCTGTATTTACTTTGATCGCTACTTCTGGTCGATACTTTTGCTTGAAAAGTTGACATGTCCAATGGTGTTCAATGCTAATGATGTACCGAATACCAAAACCAAACCTGACCTTGAAATGCAACGTGGTGAACCACAGCAGTTCGTCTGCGACGATGTCGTCGTAATCAAATTGATGAACAACAAGGCCGTGTTAGTCGCATCAAATTGCACATCTGCAAACGAAACAACTTTTGTAGAGCGCTGGCATGAAAATACGTTAGGATACTTCTCCGCACCAAAAACAATCGCGAACTACAACAGGAACATGGGCGGTGTAGACATCCTTGACCAATCAATGGACTATTACCGTACCTTCATGATGACAAGAAAATGAACACTGAAAGTAATACTTCACTTTGATCTGGCTGTTTGTAATGCATGGTGCCTGCACATACTGGAATGCGCAGCAGCTAAGATCCCAAGCAACAAAACCAGCCATGGATTTACCAGCTCACTCATTCGTAGAAGGAGGACTCCAAGTGATGATGCTGATCAAGCCGGAAATTTAGAGCCGAACACGCCAAAGCTTAGAAGATCAAATCAACCATATCAAGCTAAAAGGTATTATCGCTATGACCTAACAGGCGTCGAAGCTATCGACACTCCCCACGCATGCCGAATGAATGATGTAGGAAGCGATCAAAGCTTAGATGTGAAAAATGTGACGTGTACCTGTGCCTCTCGAGAGAAAAAAACTGCTTTCCTGCTTACCATAAAAAATAATAGCTATGAATACTACTTTTAAGTCTGATGAAGCAATAGTGAAGACTGATATAGTTTTGATCTCTATTGAAGTGATTCTTATATATTAGATATTTGCATGTTGTTCCTTTAATTGTTACTTATTGAGCATATGATTACATGTTTTAATAAAAGACATTTTATAACAAAGTTTTTGTTGTTTTCACTAATAAAAAGCACACCAAAAGTTAAAAACCTAAAAACATCACATTCCTGCAGGGTAGTAGGGAACTTGGCGGTGTTTTGGATTTTTTTAAATGAATTTTCACATGAGCGTTTGAATCTACAAAAGACATCCTGATGAAAAAAAAACAATAATATTAAAAAAATGAGCCTTAAAGGGGTGTAATACGGACCCCACTGGAGTGACCAACTGATAAGAGATGCAGAAAGTCGTTGGATGCTTGTGGCTCAGGACTGTGCTTTATGATTTTTCTTGGAGAGGAGCTGTGTTCAGAAGTGCACTTATTCACTTACGATGGGTACTTATGTGATATACACACACTACACTCATGATAGGCTGTAATGAGAATTATGTTAAATTAAATATAATCGCGTAGATGTAAGAAATCATTATACATATATTCATACACTTATTAAGAACTTGACTGTGATCATATAGAATTCTAAAATGTAGTATGTACTCGTAGTGTTGTGGAAACTATTCCCGCTGTACTCATGTAATATTAACACGACGGCTACGGTTTCCAAACACGTTCACTTGCTTATGTATGAGTAATATTAACCCTTAGTTTGGTTATATTTCGTTACACAACAAGTTTTGTTACAATGTTTTGGGAGACATTTTTAAATATCGAAACAGATCGAAACCGAAAAAAATAAATAGAATTGTTATTTTATCCATTCCTATCACTAGTAGTACGCATTTGGTCTTTGATTTATTTATATGTACTTACAGGTTGAATCGTCATAAATAAGTTACAAATTTCAAATTGAATTCAAGATTTATTATTTTATTCGAACCATTAAAAACTCTTTAGTATAACATCAACAATATTTTAGTTTTTAGCCAATCCTGTTTTGAGAAAATAACTGAAACTGAAATAAATGAAACATTAATTAAATCACCTTATAATGTTGACCAAGATAGTAATTTTAAACCCGAAATATATTATAAAAACTGTACTGTTGGTCTAGTGCTCGTAAGCATGACTGCTGGTCACGAGGCCCTGGTTTTGAATACCGGATCAGGCCAATTTTAATTGTTCTAAAGTTGTTATTAGAATTAAAAAGTTATATAGTACGAAAATAAAATTAATTAGCAGTTTGAAGTTAGGCAGTTGACGGCGTTGCAACTAGGAGTTAGGAAATTATCAGCCTGCGTGCCGGAAAACACGTAAAGCTGGTTCTAAACTGCACCTGGTCTCTCCGGTTTTGTGTGTGTTATCAGACTACTGTCAAAACGGACTATAAGAGTCAGGGAGAGTGAGGTGCAGTATGCACATAGAATACTATAATACACAATAGAATGGCTGTCAACTTTATTTTATACGAGGATTGGCGTCGCCAAACCCCGATCCGCTGTGTTGACAGACTGAGTAAATTTACACATTTTAGACTTTTGATTAATGTTCAAGATCATCATTAAATTTTAATATATATTTATTTGTATATATGGTGCAATTTGGCATTTTCTAAATAATTTGTATACGAAATTTGGAAACGATTTTAACGTCAAAACACATCTCGTGTTGACATTTATACGTGTGAATTGACGTGATAGTGACATTTTAGTGACTACGCGAGCTCCGCCCACTCCCCCGTTCTATTATGTATGTATTATAGTATTTTATGAGTATGCACATTTGTGCACTATAATCCTGCCCTGATGATATAGGATTTTAAAAAAAAATAAGAAAAAAATATTGGTTTTCTTTACGTTTTGGTTAATGACATACAAAAATAAAGGAAATATAAAAGTATATTTTCAATAAATATATAAAAATATTTTTACATATTACAAAACCGTATAAAAAACATTTGGCATTGTAAAGCGAATACCTAAAAAAGGAAATCTAGAAGTCATAATTTCCAGCTTCGATAATAAGAAACGCACACTAAGTCAACATAGACATAGACATTACTTTTACTTTCATTGTGAATTATTCCTTAAAATGACGATCACGTAATTCAATGATCACGGGGACCTAGCTTTCAATCAGAAAAATTCTCTTAGATTCCATTCACAAACAAACTATTATATATTTTAAAACTAAATCACATAAACACTGTACACGAAACAAACCTAAACTGCAATTACCAAAAGCTAGGACTAAAACTTATGGTTCGAAAACTGTTCAGTTTGAGGGAGCGCTACCGTACAGCCTACCGAACGAGGTATTTCATGAAAAATCGTTTTCAAATTTTAAAGATAAATTAAAAAGCACTGTCAACCATTAATTTAAAGACAGTGCTTTTTTAGTTTGGATATATTTATGTAACTTCATTCATATTGCAACGTATGTAAATGTATTTTTATAAGGAAATTTTTGCTCGTTTTTGAGATAATAAACTCTTTAAACCTAACAATAACATATTTTCATAGAACAGTTTCTACTGGGACCTATTTTAAGAGAATTTGAGGCCTAGAGAGAGAGAGAGAGAGAGAGAGAGAGAGAGAGATCTTTCTTCATAGAGTGGAGGCACAGGCCCATTTTGATCATTAAAGTCTCTACCTATGGAGGCAGATTTGCTATGACGATATTCACGTAGATCGTATACAAGCTTTTTTGTCCATGTTTATCCCCTTTAATTTCATCTATACATATAATAAATCTGTAGAAAAGTCATGTCTGTAATTCCAATATTTCCTGGAAAAAACAACTCCGTGGGACTAAGTAAAGGATTATAAAGGAAGGAGGAGGACTGAAGCCAAGTTTTACTGGTTTTAGAATTTTTGTCTGTATGTCTGTCTTTCTGTCTGTCTGTGTATTAAAGATTCACGCAAAAACTACTGAACAGATCCATAAAATTTTGTATGCAGACAGTTAGTGACTCGGGGTTACTTATAGGCTACTTTTTATCCGATTACAGAACTTAAAAAAGGAGGGTTAAATATTTTCCTTTCCTTAGAAGTTAACTTTCTATTATGTATGATTCTATTATGTGTAGATTCTGTTAGATCTGATATGCGCAATAACGCAGTGTTTTTTTAAACGAATACAATATTTATAATTAAATTTTAAAATTTGTTTTAACTATTTTTTATGTAATAATTTGAAACTATGCTAACGATCTACAATTTACGTTTCCAAAACAGCGGCATCTGTCATAAAAAGTAAAAAGCCTTCGGTTATCGGTTACTTACTAATAAATTAAACAACATAAATAAATAACATTTATATGTTTAAATAATTATATTTATTAAATATTTTGAAACTTCTAAGATTTATTTTAAGTTTTTCATTCTTTCATTTTAATAGTAATAATTTAAATAGATAATAGTGAAATCTATGAAAATTCAGATGGTTATCATTTAAATTACTAATATATAATAATCAACTGATTAACGTTGGTTTGCCTGCGATTATTTCAAAACTCTCATTACACTTTAGTTAAGGATATTTTGTATACGTCGTGGCCAGATCGTAGAATTAATTTTATCGTGAATATTCGATCATTACTTGAAATTTTGGCATTTCGTGAAATTTAACACTTTCTGTTGATCATATCATGATAAGGCTTGACCAAATCGATGAAAAAACATTGTTTGAAGAAATTAACAACTAAACCCAACTTTGCCTTTTATAAAATACTAATTAAATCGTAAAATAGTTTCACTATTTACCAATGGCGGCGCCGGAGGCGCATTTTTTAACAGAAACAGAATTTTTAACAGAATCCACATAACTCTATGCCTTATCGCGAACATTTAAATGATATATATAAATGTTCGCGGCTTTGAGGTAGCCCAATGATTACCCCAACCTCATATTAATCTACTGTCGCTGATATTCGCCATAATATCGATATGGTATACGAAGATGGTGCTTTCGTATGATATTATGGCGAAACGAGAATTGACTTCGTAGACTCAATTGTAGATTGAGGATAAATTTGACAAACGTTGACATTTATACGATACTAGCGATTCACCCCGGCTTCGCACGGGTGATTCCTGGATATCAGTAACAGCGCCACCTACCGGATATAAAATCTAAACCAACTTGTAAATCTAAAGCATACAGGGTCCCACTTGAATACACACAATAAATTTCATCAAAATCGGTGAGTTTTAGCGAGACTATGGGGCAGCAATTGATTTTTATATTTATAGGTAACTATAATATGCATTAATAAATATATAAACCTTCCTCTTGAATCATTCTGTCTATTGACGAAACCTCATCAAAATCCGTGTGTAGTTAATAGATCTCAGCGTACAGAATACAGACGGTGGGAAGCGACTTTGTTTTATACTATGGAAAGATGGTCGGTAATAATAAGCTATCATGAAATGATTGCGATATTTGAAGTGGTCCAGCACTTCATGATAATGTGATCAATTCTACGATCTGGACACATTTACAAAACTTGAGAGTTTTTGGCTTTCGTAATTATAATTTAAAATTA